AAGGTTCTTTTTTTGATGAACTGGCCTAATCCTACTGTTGATGTTGAGTGGCATGACATATATATTTGGGCTGATTCCAACCATGTTAGCATGAGTCATGACAAAAACGTCAATATTTGTATAAGAAGCTCGTCAGATTTGCGCGAAGCGAGGGTTGAGATTACTTTCGATTTCAATACAGGGTCGACTCCTATGGCGTCGACCAATACCTCAAATAAGAGTCTCAACAAGCCCCTATGGAAATACCTCCTCTGGAACCCAAAAATCTAAACTATCTTCCATAGACCTAATTGTGGTTTGATCTGCTGATTGCACATAGTAGCTGCTAAGGAATGCGATGGCTTCCTTTTCTTTTGCATGTCATCTGCCCGCGTCTACATTAGTGAGTCGCGAGATTCACTTTGAGACCCCCTTAACTTCACCACATTCTGTGGTGTTAGAAATTCCATCTTAGATGTAGATGGAGGTGACAGCTTGAAGTTTGCGAGAGTAAATTTTGCCAAATACACCATTGAAAGTGGACTAATAATCTACTACAAAAACTTGGTTTTCTTAGTCACTTCATGGGTCTCACCCAAGTGACAGGAAGGTGCAATGTTCCCTTGAAAATCTAATGATCCCTATAAAACCATAGAAAAGGATAGTGACAGGCTTTAGATCTGCCTTGTCCACTGTATTTCATAGAATGCTCGCTGAAATAGGATATTCACCGATACCATTATCCACCAACATTTAGGGACTACACACGACCTATTTTAGGCACGATAATGAGTGCATCCTCATGGGGATGATGAAATATATATGTAAACATTTAAAATATTTATGATAATTTATGTAATGATAATAAATATATGATAATCTATAATTTTGGTAATTTCATAACATATTTAACCTATGATTAATATATGTATGATAATAATTTTGTATATACACAATTACACATTATATATAACAAATTAATCACACATATGTATTGATCATATATTATAATAGGCCATCATTTCACTATGAATTTATAGGTGTTGATACAAAATATATATGTAAACATTTAAAATATTTATGATAATTTATGTAATGATAATAAATATATGATAACATATAATTTTGGTAATTTCATAACATATTAAACATATTTAATTTATGATTAATATATGTATGATAATAATTTTGTACATACTATATAGTGGCATGTTCACTCCTTGGAATCCTTTTGGTTGTGCTATAATGTCTATGCAAAATGCAAATTCCTTTTGTTTGTGTCATGTATAATATGGAACTAAATTTGTTTTGAACGATTTATTGTTCTATTTAATTTATTTTGAAGTTTTATTATTTATGATGGTTAGTTATTTTAATTTACTGAGTTTTTATTGATTTATTTAAAATATAAATATAGATAGAGAGTTGGTTTATTTTCAAATGTTGAATTAAATGGGTATGAATTATAAATTGTTGCATATTTGTTTTTTAGAGCATGAATTGGAAAGTTGGTGTATATTTTTTATTCGAACGAGTTATTCGAACAGGTATTTACAAGTTATCAAACGAGTTATTCGAACAAGTATTTACAAATTATCGAACGAGTTAGTCGAACAGGTATTTACGAGTTAGTCGAACAAGTTAGTCGAACGAACACGAACGAGTTACGAACGAACACGAATGAGCTTTTTGTTAATCGAACGAACACGAACACATATTCTGTGTTCGTTCGAACATGAACACGAACACGAACACGAATAATCGAACATGCTCATCGAACGATTTTCGAACGGGCCTGTTCGTTCATGTTCGGTTCGATTGCAGGCCTAGTAGTGATAGAATTGAATGAGTGTTTGGCGGTGGAGATAGCTCGTAAGAAGGTGGACAATGACATTGAACCAAAAGATTCTATTGAATTGTACAATTCAGATCACCATGCTGAATCATATCTCACAACAAGGTAGTACTGCTTTCTCAATATATGTCCTTCTTTAGTACTATTTATGTATAGTGTGGCCCGATTAGACCTTCTTTTGGCTTCAGTTTTATATCTCGTGCTTGAGGAGAAAGCAACTATGCTTCTATTGCAGTTAATGTACAAATCCTTAATTGTATTATCATAGCAAATATACTATGGATCCTGTGTAAGTATGTCAAGAAATCATCATTTCATCATCAATGTAAGATTAATTGGAGTTTGTAGTGGTGGAAATTAGAAACTCTAAGCTGATAATTATTGGAAACTAGTCAGAATTAGTTATAACCTTTTTGAGAGACTAAATAACCAACCAACTCAGAGTTAGACAACTTCAAATATTCTGCTAAAGTCTGAAAATTGAATACTGGACAGATGGCAAATATATGTTGCACACAATTTTCAGGTCCAGTTCACATCTGAAAGTTTTCTCTATTTATGGTTTATAGTTGCACTGAGTTTACAACCTGGACTAAGGTTCTGGGTATTGGGTTCAACGGTTATGAAGGGATTATAATCCCATCAAATTGATCTTTATCCTCTATTGATATATACATCTTTATTTTATTTAAAAAAAAAAAAAAAAACTCTGTATAGCCCTCCTTTATTAGGGTTTTATTTGCACTTATTTTCCCCCAATTTCAAACTTAATTAGGGTTTTTAATTAAAACACTTTTCCCCAATTTCAAATTCGATAAGGCTTTTTTGTTTTTTTTTTTGTTAATACCCTTTTTTTTCCAATTTCAAATTTGAAAGTTATTTTTTCTTTTCCAAATTCGGATTCATCATGTTATGTGATTACTCTCTTCATAACTTTACTAATATATTTTCATAAAAAAATAATTATTTGAATAAAAAAATGTTTCAATGATTTAGAAAATTTAGATTTAGGGTTTATGTAAGATCAAAGGTTAAAAACTAAAACAAATATATAAAATAAAGACTGTAGAAATCATTATGTCATTAAGGTTAAATTTGTCAAAAATAAAAATACATTTAAAAGTAGGATACACGGACCAATTTGATAGGGGCTAAAAATTACTTTCTATTGCCACAGCCGCCCTCCTGCCATGGGATCAATTTAATAACTCCATATTTCCATATTCAAGTATCAATTCTATTGTTTATTCACTTTACTCTTTACTTAGGGTTTCTCTCCGTTTACACTTATATTTTCCAGGTTTTATTAGCATAGATTATGAGATACCTGAAAATTCTAATCAAGAGAATAAGTTCCCTTCAGTGGTGCTTTAATCGTCAAATTTTATGTCATTCTCACTCATGGAAGAATTCACTGAAATTACATATCACTAGTAAATTCTTGTAACATATGGAAGAATTCTAGTGTGTATCCTCTAACTATATTGAACGAATTCCTCTGTTAATGTGTTACCGGAATACAAAATGATACCTTGGAACAACAATTCTACAGCCTTAAGCTTCCCTGAAGGGTCCAGAATTAGTTGTTACACCTATCACATCTTTAGTTATAAGTTTTGGGTTATTTTAAATTAATAAAATGTTTTTGAGAAAAGGGAAATCTAAAACCGAATCCAAGGAACAAAAAATGCTTGTATAATCATCTCATAAATTACTCTTGTTTGAGTTTCATCCACTGATTTAAGTGTTGGGGCTAACTTACAGATTTTGGTTTGCACTGTTATATATAGATGGAACTTAGATGATTGATACTTGTGGAGAACCTAAAACAAACTTTTGAACGTCAAAGACCTTCACACTAGAAAATATCTATTCTTTGAGAAATTTGTGATGGAGAGCCTGAGTAATACCACGTATGAATATAATAGTTGCGTGTAGAATCAATTAACAAGGGAAAAAACAAAACCCATCACATTATTCGGAAAACAGGAGTTTTTAGCTTTTTCTATTGACTTGAGCGTCAAAATTCTGTTTTTGCATGCATTTCACATCAGTCGGCCATTGTTATGCCTTTCAGCTTTAGGACCAGTTATTTTTCCGAAGACAAATTCATTTAACTTGTGGAAAATTAATTAACTTGATATATTTAATTTATGATATTTAATTAGTATTGTCCAATTCCTATTATTAGCCATATTTAAGACATATCCTTAGAGAATCCTTTCGTATTTTCTAAATTGTAACCAAGGAAGACCAGCTGAAAGCTAGAGTCAATGAATCAACCGCTACCATAGAGGCCTTTTTCAAGAGTACTTTCTCAGGGATCAGGTTGGCGATTACTTTCTCTTCTTATTGGCTAATGTGCTTGTCCTAATTGTCCTTTTATAGATATTAATACAATTGAATTGTTAAATTATGCAAGTGCCTCCGGAAATTCCACACGGTACTAAAATTTAATTTAAGTAGAATTATAAAATGAGTTGACTAGTTACTAGAAAAATTGACTGATATTGCTATTATATATTGTTCATCTTTATGGTCTTTCGTATAACATCATAAATTACTGCAATAGACTGGAAGAAACCGAATTCCCATCATATTTCAATGTTTACCAAAAAGACTTATTAACTTTATATATATAAGTGCCTCCTGAAAATTCCACATACTACTAAAATTTAATTAAGTAGAATAATATCATTATGACTTCCAGGGCTTTAGTAGTATTAGCATAGATTGTGGTCAGAAAATTCTGGCAAGTATCACATCTCTCGGAAAGCAGAAAATTTGGCGTTTTTGTGTGTACCACATTACTCTGGCCCATGTCGTCCCTTTCACCTGCATTACGAGGCAATTCCTACGGTTCTTTCACGCTGACAATTTCTTCCAAGAACAAGTGGTTGTAGAAAATTAATTAACTTCATAAATTTGGTGATATTGATAGTACTGACTTGGTGTCGGCCACCATTATATGATACGTATCCATATACATCATCTGTTGACTAAAATGATTAATTAAATTAATTTGAGTCCCTCATTTGTTGCTAATAGGGACAGCCATTAGAGCTGCCCATTCAATAATTGGGTTTAATCACGGATAAGCCTAGTCGTTGAACTTTTCTTCTAACTAAATAAGACTTCATCACAGGAAATGTAGAAGAATTCTGGACAGCTTACACTCATTTGCTTACACATCTGAAGAACAAAGGGCTAATACAATAAAGGATTCTCCTCAGTGACGAAGCTCTGATGACGAGAAGTAGATTTTCCAGATGAAGAAAAAATAATTAACAACAATAACTTTTACTCTTTAGTTCAACGACTTGAATATTATTCCAGAAAATCAGAAGAACTAGAGTATTCTGCTAATGTATGACTGCTACTTTACAAAATTTATTTAAACTCAAAGTAGAAGTTTAGAGAACAAACATGCTTAAAGATCTAGCATACTCGTATGTTAACGGGGATCCAGCTCCGTGATTGAAGCTTCATTCACTGAATATTGGACAGAATTGCTTTTTGATTGACCCGGCATAGTGACTTCAGATTTATCCTGTTCCACAACGCTGGGCATAAAGAATGCAGGTTTTGACGGCACTGACAGAGAGACAGAGTTGCTAGTTAGCATTAGAACAACTGAAGTCATGGTTGGTCTATCAGCTTCATTTTCTTGAACACATAGTAATCCAACATGAATACATCTCGTAATTTCACTACTAGAATGACTCCTCAAAGTGTGATCTATCATATTTAAAGCTGTCCCTCCTTTCCAATTTCTCCATGCCTACAAAAAATGAACAATGCACATACAATGTTAGTGCCTTTCTTTGATTTTTGAAATTTCATTGTCATAACTTATCTAGTATCTGAAGGAGAAGAAGATAAAATAGTTAAAAGATTTTGCTTACATAAGTTAGCAGGTCCTCCCCCTCTTCCCCATTACAAAAACTATTGTTCTTTTGACCACTAATGATTTCCAAGACTAAGACGCCAAAGCTGAAAACATCGGACTTGACTGAGAAGTGTCCATACTTTACATATTCAGGAGACATATATCCACTGAAAAGGGGTCATAAGTAAGAATGAGTTAGTTGTATTGAAAACCAAAACTATCCATGATCATATGCAAGTTATTTCTGGTTTTGCTACATATAGGAAGTGGTAAAACATAAGAGATCTTGATATTTTCCTCTGATATGAATAAAAAATTTAGTTTTAATTAGCAAGCTCTAAGTATGTTCTTGTATATACTTACAAGGTTCCAACAATTCTACTTGTATCGCCTCGAGTTTGATCCACTTCAAATAACTTTGCCATTCCAAAATCTGAAATTTTTGGAATCATATTTGCATCTAAAAGAATGTTGCTAGCCTTTAAGTCGCGATGAATGATTCTTAATCTTGAATCTTCATGAAGGTAAAGAATTCCTCGAGCTATGCCTCCTATGATCTTGTATCGTTTTTCCCAATCTAATAACAATCGCTTGATTGGATCTAAGAATTCAACAAAACCAAAGCACTTCAATAGATTGCATAAATCTAATCAGGCACATTTGCTTTCTTATATGCAACATATATGCGCATACATCTAGATAATAAATTGTTACGATCACAGTGAATGCAGACATGGTAATGCATTCATTTTGGAGAAAGAAACCAAAAGGCAGTGAAAGCATACCAAATATGAAGTTATCTAGGCTTGAATTTGACACAAACTCATATATAAGAAGCCTTTCTTTATCTTCCAAGCAGAAACCTCGAAGCCTAACTAGATTTCTATGATGAAGCTTGGCCACCAAGAGGACCTCATTTTTAAATTCCAGATCTCCTTGTCCTGAATCTCTAGACAGCCTCTTCACAGCTATATCCTGTCCGTCAAGAAGTCTTCCCTGAAATGATATTAAGAAAAAAAATGAGGTAAATGCAAAACAATTTAATTGCATTCCGGGAACTCAAACTTAACAACTGGATGCATTTTGATCACCAAATGGTGCTCTTTGTCACATCCTCAGTTACCTTGTAAACAGAACCAAATCCACCTTCTCCAAGCTTATTACAAATGGAAAAGTTATCTGTTGCAACTTTGATAGTGCTGAAGTCGAATTGCAAGGATTCCACAGTCTCAATTTCATCACCGACGTCTTAAAAATAGTGTCAAGTTAGCATATAAATAAACAACTACTAATAGATGTAAAAATTATAATGGACCTTTATTCCTGAAAAACATATTTACGAAGGTAGATGCTAGAGAGTGATTTCTTTGTTCAGTATTAATTCCTTGCTTCTGTTAATTGCAGCTATTATATCAGAGTTAATAGAAGCAGCCAGATTAAAACAAAATTCTAGTTTGAAATTTCACCCTTAAATTTGATAATCCTTAACATTAAAAACAACGCATAAATGACTAACCTTTTAGCTCTTGCTTTCTTCTTATCTCGCCCTTTGCCTTTCTCCTCCTTAAAAACACATAAGTTAAAGCAAGTAGTAGTGATGTGATGATAATTATAGAGGCAATAATAATTCCAACAACTACAGGTGCAATGCCTCCTTTGTCTGCAAAAATAAAAATGGCCTCTGAACATTTATAAAAGGGATACAAATCCAAGCGAAAAATACAAAATTCAATAATTAAATTAAAATTTGAGTTTATCAAGTTCGAACTTACCAGGTGGGGTATTAGTTATCTGTGGAGGAGAAATTCTGGGTGGTAGTGGAGGAGACGGAGATGGAGCTTCAGTTGATTCATAAAAGGGATACAAATCCCAGCGAAAAATACAGTTAGGCCTCTGAACGTAACCTCCTTGCTTCCCATGACAGCAGCTCTCGAAGTAAGATACAGATTGACGAAGACAAAAGTCGCAATTACTCCGGGATAAGTCTGGAGTACACTGCATTAAGGCGTATATCTTCTGAAAGAAAGTCAAATTAGCTTCTTCAGTGGCAAATTTGAGCTTAGAAGAACCCATAGAGGCTTTTGTAACCACGCGATCCATTAAACTTTCCCAGGTCTGATCAAACTCTGTCAAATTCGTAGTGATATTATTCACATTATAGCCAGCATCGCTAGGATCCAGCTCCAGTAATCCAATAAAAGACCGGTCTGCATAGCGTACAATGCATGGAGGATCTCCTCCCCATGAAAGTGCTTCTTTTTGGTTGGGACATTTGGTTATAAGATCATGGGTTGTGGAATTGACACAGCTGAAACAAGTTTCTGAAGAAGAATCACCTCTGCAAAGTGCAAGAGCATAAACTTCGTTGGTGTCTTGGCCAATAGTAGCAGTATAAAAACCCCCATTTGTTGATACATTAGAAGCAAGATTTGAAAGGATAAGGCCGCGGTTCTTGCCATAAACACTGTTAGTTGTGAAGTTTCCCGTATCGTTACATCTCTGGCCATTGCTAAGAGTGATGCCTATAGACAGGTAAGTAAGAAGATGAAGGAGATTTGTAAAAGCCATGGCATGTTCAAGAATTCTCCTTTGTCTAATTTAATCTAAATGGTTTGGTGAAGATGAAACAAGACACAAAACTTTAATAACTCAGAGATGGTGATCCAAGTGCAGGAAACCTGGCTTAAGAACATGCCTTGATTAAGAGACTTGACAACCTACCTACTTCGCGCCAGAAATAGTGGTGAGACCGTGAGACTTAATAAGAGGACTTTGACCGTGAGACAACGAAATATAAAATGCCGATTTTTTAAGACTATAAAATAATGTTGTATTTTTCCTTAAATATTAGTCCATTTTATTATTTTTTAATAATTGTTTATTTACCCTTCATTTTTCTTACAAAGTTTAAAGTAATATTACATATGAACATACCTAACAATTGCGTTTAGAATCAATTAACTTGAGCGTCAAAAGTCTGTTTTTGCGTGTGTTTCACTTTGACATCAGTCAGCCAGTGGTTCCAATTTGTTCAAAGTATATTATTTTTCCGAAGACAAATTCATTGAACTCATGGAAATGATTGGTGCGTTTGGTTTATTATTTTGGGTAGGATTTTGGAGATAGTATTAGATAATTGAATATGGGAGTATTACGAGGTAATATTTAAAAATTTATAGAAAAACCCCCTAAGTTTGCTAATTTCATAAATACCCCCAACATGTAAATTGACAAAAATACCCCCACCACCTGCAGTGCCAGATTCTGGCCACCACCGCCAGAATCTGGCTGGAAAATCGCGTTACGACACAGACCGGTCGGATATGTGTCGTAACGAGTCGTTATGGCCTTTTCCGGCCAGATCCACCACAGATCTAGCCGTAAAAGACCAGATCTACGGCCTGTCGTGGCCGAAAAAGGCCAAAACGACAGCCATCTTTGGCCGTCAGCAACAGCCAAAGATATGGCCGTCGTTTTCGGTCAACGATGGCCAAGATTTGGCCGTCGTTGACCTTAACGACGGCCATTTCTTTGGCCGTCGTTCACGGCCAGATCTGGCCTTTTCCGGCCAAATCCGTGGTGGATCTGGCTGGAAAAGGCCAGATCGATGAACTTCCGGCTATTTATGGTCTGCAGGTTGGCCGTTGTATAGATTTCGACTACCACCGACGGTGGTTGCCGGAATCTGGCGAATATGGGTTGCGGGGGTGTTTTTGATAATTTTTAAACTTTTTTTTTAGGGTGTATTTGATGAAATTAATAACCTTATGGGGTTTAAAAGTAATTAAAAAAAATAGGGTAATATTCTTGGAATAATGTGCCAAACATTATTTGGAGAATAGGATCCAGAAACTGGATAAAAATAATAAGCCAAACACATATGATAATATTCACATCATAGATACTATCCTTTGAATCGGTTTTTCTGACCGATTCAAAGAAAATTGATACCAACACGACTTAATTAACTTGATATCAATTTTCTTTGAATCGGTTTTTCTAAAATTCCTACTAATAATTTCTATTTTTTATGGCCACTGCACTTTCGCGCGAATATATTATTCACCTTTATAATTTGTATTATACATAGAAAGAAACTGATTTGGCAATGGAGATACTAAAGAAGTCGATCATCTGTGCTTTGCATTTATATTTACAGCTGCTATAAAGTCCTGTTTCACGCCCAGAATCAATCAATTTTAATTATATTGTCATTCACGTATTACGTACTCAGATTTTCTCTTTGTTTATCCTTATGTCTTCCAACAGGCTTGTAGTATTAGCATAGATTGTAGTCAGAAAATTCTAGCCAGTATCACATCTCTGTTTAGCAATTGAGATGGCTAGTAAGAAGGTAAGCAATAGATTGAATCAGAAAAGTCTATTGAAATGATCATTTTAGATCTTCATTGATTATCTTCCACAGGAAGGTAGTATACTCATAATATATGTATGTTGGCTACTTTTAATATGAGAAATAAAATGGAATGCAGCTATGAATTATCACCAACAGTAACATGTCAATATGTAATGGATAATCTCCCGCATATATCGGATTAATTGCTCTCTCTTTTCTCTTCCATCTCCAATCAGTGTTCTCTATCTATGGGCCTAAGAACAAACTTTCGGCCTGTTTTTTGCTGGGCCAATGCGTGCAGTTTCTAATTGAGCTAAGTTGACAGTCTGGAATAATGTTATGGGTATTGGGCTTAAGGTTTATTGCCACTTCAAATAGACCTCCTCCAAACACCTATGGAAACTTATCTTCTTTAATAATATTTCATGGCACTAATTAATCTCATTTTACATAATTTCAAGTATTCGTTCATAGTATTATTTGCATGCAATCATAAACTTATCTTCAAGTGGAGTGACTAGGCCGAGCGCCAGTTCAGTCTCACATTTACACAAATATCTAGAAGTATCCAAATCACTAATTATCTTATCAAGTCTAAAAGTTTATATCCATGAACTCATTTTACAAGCAATTTGATTTAACATTAAATTTCCATCACAATCTCATGGACTTACCAACTAATAGTTTGACAAGACACCAGTCTGATTTTCTATCGACTCAATTGTCATCCTTAAAGGTCTTGTAAGCAATGTGTTTATACCTGGAACATACCTTGACCTGGTCAAGGGGTCGATCACTGGGTCGAGCAGTTCTATCGGAGTGTCAGACCAGTGATGTCAATATGATGTAATAAAATTTTAAAACTCTAATAATTAATAAATTTCTAAAATAAATCCATCCAAATAACACTATAACATAAATAAAATATATCTAAAATCGAAATCCAAAGAATAATTAAAATTTTATAATGCCATGCTGGCATCACTGGTCTGACCGGCGATTTAGCAATATTCTGCCAATTTAACCCTCGGTCAATCTAGTGCAACTGTTATAACAAGGTTTAGGATGTACCCGGACTGGATAAGAGTTTGGTTCCCAATATTCGACTGGTTTGATCTGGTTTTTAAAACAATGTCGATAAGTTAATTGAAACAAAACCAAATGCACAAATTACTCGTAAAGTTTATAATTTTTATGCCTTTATAGAAACTTAGAAGGAAACAACTAGGGATGGCAATCAGGGTGGGTGGAGGCAGGGATCATCATCCCCATCCTTAAAAGAGGTTTTGATCCCCATCCCTGATTTGACTAATATGGGGACGGGGATCCCTAATGGGGATATGAATCCTTGCAAGGACCTGATTCCCAAATAAAAATAAATTATTTTTTTTAATGATATTCTATGACAACCAATTTCAATAGTAATTTTTGTAATATTTTAGTTTTGAAAGTGAAAAAGATGAAATTCAACACTTTAAAATCTACACTAAGACTAACAAAATATATATAACAAGTAAAAATGAAATCAAATTCATATAGAAAAAAAATATAATTTCAATATAATTAAATGAAATATAAATACCAATTATTATAATAAAGACTTGATCTCCCTAATTTAATTTACAAAATCGAGTTTCGTTTTGTGTGATTACTTTATTTTATTTTTTTAGAACATTCCTTAAACATTTTTTAATTAAATGAACTAATCCCCATCCCTCTCTAAATTCAATTCGAAGATGAGTTTTCATCTCCATCCTCGCCCCATCCCCAAAATTTTAGTTTAAATTCCCTCCTCAAACGAGAGGGGGACAAGCGGGAACCTATCCCCACAAGGACAATTGCCATCCCTAGAAACAACCTAACATGTTCAATTCCGGTTGAACTTTGGTCAAATAATGGTTCATCGTCATTAAAGTATTATATTCTTGTAAGCGTAAATGACATATTCCCACTCAAGGTTTGATGAAATCTCAAGTTGGTACCTCTAGTTACATTTATTCCAAATTCTCACCCTTAACATAACTCTAAAAGCAATTTTTTGGGGTATAGAGGGTGCAATTACCATAATGCCCTTAACCCTAAATTAATAAATTACGTTTTAACCCCTAAATTAGTAGAATTATAAAACTTACCATTTTATTCTCAAATTATCTCAATATGGGTTGCACAATATGGGTTGTTTCCGACGGTGTCGAACCCCCTGGTCACCTCTATCACCTTCCTCGTAGTCCGTCGTCCAAAACCCCTCTGGTTCCCAACTCATTGGCCCCTCCAATCGCCGGCGCCATTAGGCTTAGGGTTTTGCTGTTCTTCGCCAGATTTTGATCGATTTTGATGGTGAAAATCCAATTGGACACCACCACTGCAACCAACGTCTCCAACTCTGTAAAATCCCTATGTCCCCAACAACTGTTTAGTCACCGTTCTCTGGCCGAGAGTTCATGTTAATCGGCCCTTTTTTTGGTGAAGTGTGGACGGCAAACGGTGAGTTGTCGTGGTTGGGAAGGTTAGGGGTTTTGTAAGGGAGGATGCTAGGAGTCAAATGGTGGTGGTGGTGGTGGTTGGGGTTGTCGCCATTCAAAATGGCTAGAAATCGACAAAAACCAGTCACATGTCGCGACTGCCATGGCCAGCGATCGACGAGTGATGAGGGGCTGTGAAGAGTAAGGTTTTGTAAAGGGGAGGATGAGGGTTCAAATGGTGGTGACAAGGGTGATTTTGGGTGGAAGAATCACCAGAAAAATGGCAAAAAAAGTTGGGGACACTGTCTGCTAACGTGCGCCAGAGAACTATTAGAGGCGGTGATCTACGAACATTCACCGCCCATGAAAAATGACCAATTTATCTCTTTACAATTACATCAAATACTTTTCCGTCACTTTAAGGGTGGGAATCTAAAATAAATATAACCAGGGGTACCAACTTGGGATTTCGTCAAACCTTGGGTGGGAATATGTCGTTTATTCTTCTTTTAATTAAAACTATTAACCTAATTTACAATAATACCACTAGATGCCACATCATTATACAACCAATCAATGTATTTTCTTATGAGTATTTTTCTCTTATCAATCTTTCATCACACGTAGTGTGAAATTCCTTGACTATGCATTTCATGCAACAAATATTGTATTTAGTGTGAAGTATGAAGAAGAGATAATTGAATGAAAATGGAGACACATATGAGAAGCGTTATATGCTAAGGGTATTACTTAGGTCTAGTGTATCGAAAAATTATTCGAAAATTGAAAAGTTTTGAGCTTTTTGTTATTGACTTGAGAGTCAAATTCCTTTTTTGAGTTAACACGGGTCACCTTGCCAACAAGTATTTTCGCTGAGACAAATTCAT